GCAGATACTCTTTCCGACTTAAAAAGATGCCACACTACACAGCAAAGCAAAACTGCACTGTATCGATAGCTGTGTATGTAAGAGGGATGGGAGTAAATGCTAAAGCGAGCCTTGCAGGATCCCTTCTGAGAAGTCGGAAGCAGTTAATTTTGCTTTCGCTCTGACCGAAGATGACTCCAAACAAGTGCAGCAAGCAGTATCTGAACCTTTCTGAACACACAGGTGGGCTGTATCGATAGCTGTGTATGTAAGAGAGGAGAGGGTGTATGCTTAAGCGAGCCTTGCAGGATCTCTTCTGAAAAGTTGGAAGCAGTTAATTTTGCTTTCGCTCTGACCGAAGACGACTCCATACAAGTGCAACAAGCAGTATCTGAACCTTTCTGAACACACAGGTGGGCTGTATCGATAGCTGTGTATGTAAGAGGGGAGAGGGTGTATGCTTAAGCGAGCCTTGCAGGATTCCTTCTGGGAAGTCGGAAGCAGTTAATTTTGCTTTCGCTCTGACTGAAGATGACTCCAAACAAGAGCAGCAAGCAGCATCTGAACCTTTCTGAACACACAGGTGGGCTGTATCGATAGCTGTGTATATAAGAGAGGAGAGGGTGTATGCTAGAGGAGAGAGGGTGTATGCTAGAGCGAGCCTTGCAGGATCCCTTCTGGGAAGTCGAAAGCAGTTAATTTTGCTTTCGCTCTGACCGAAGACGACTCCAAACAAGTGCAGCAAGCAGCATCTGAATCTTTCTGAACACACAAACAGGCTGTATCGATAGTTGTATATGCAGGAGGGAAGAGGATGTATGCTTAAGCGAGCCTTGCAGGATCCCTTCTGGGAAGTCAGAAGCAATTAATTTTGCTTTCGCTCTGACTGAAGACGACTTCAAACAAGTGCAGCAAGCAGCTTCTGAATCTTTCTAAAAACACAAACTGCATCGATAAATGGAAGCTGCTGCATGTATAGAGATAAAAGCACGCTAAATATAAAGCACTGTTGGTATTCCTTCAGGAAAGTTGAGCATAAAGCTGCTTGCAGCTTGAATTTCCTGAAG